TCTGTCTGGAGTGGGAGCATCATGGCGACTCACTCACTCAGCTTCTTTTTCCCAGCATTCTCCTCTGTCTACTCCACCTACCTAATTTTCTGTCCTATGAGGGCCGAGGCAGTTTCTTTATTATTAACCAATGAAATCAACAGATAAGATACAAGACCCACCTCCATCACAGCACTGTAGTAAGGCTTTTGCTTTCAGACTTCCTGGGATTAGATCACAGTCCACAGAGACGTTGCTAATTGAAGGGCTCCATTTGTTGCTCCTCTATCCTTTCTAGCATTGAGCCAAGTTTAAAACAAACTACATGAGGCTGGAGAGATGGTTCCGTGGTTAAGAGCTTGAACTGCTTTTGAAGAAGACCTGGGTTTGGTTCCAGGACAATTTGGGATGGAAATGGTTCATAATTGCCTATATCATCAGCTCCAACTCCAGGGGACCCCATGCCCACTGGTCTCTTTTGACACCTGCGCAGATGCACACACCAAACACACACACACAGAAACACATGCACATAAATTATAAGAAAAAAGAAAGCTTCACATAGCCCTTTCCAACCTCGCAACCCAGGTCCTTTGAACTGCTACAGTTATGTGTGAAATTGTAACTCATGGAGTTGTTCTTCAGTTTCATCAGCAAACACATCAGTTCAGGCTGGAAAAGTCCAGGTCGCTGAGCAAAAAAACTGGTCGACTGCTTCCATTTCTGTTTGGTCTTCTCGTCCTATCATATGTGTTCTTTCAACTAAGTTCATCTTTTAGATTTGAGACTTTCATAGTTAATGCTTTAAGTTCATTCGTCTCATATGAAGAATTTGCATCTAATTTTTGCTCCTCTAGTTTCCACATCTACTTTGTAGAATTCTGTCCTTCTTTGACATTTTCTGTCATAGGCATTTTTCTAAATATGGACAGCTGTCCAGTGACAGATGACAGAAACGGCTGATTTTTCTAGACAGGGTTTCTCCAGAATTTTGATACCTGTTCTGATCTTCCAGGCCGGCCTTGAACTCACAGAGACCCACCTGTTTCTGCCTCCCCAGAGTGTGGGGATTAAAGGCGTGTGCCACCATAGCCTGGCTGACTGGAACAGTTTTTAAAAAAAGAACAGAAACAACACAATGTCTCTGAGCTATTAACTTCTATCACTCTCTTGCTAAAGCTTCCAGCAAAGGCCACAATGGAGGGGAGGAGTGCACAGCAAGAGCTGCTTGCTGGCAGCTTCCTGTGGGCCAGCACAGTTCAGATGGCTCTGGTGTCACTGCCGCTGTAGAGACACATACCCATGACACAACTGTTGAGTGGAGAGTCGCCCTAAGAAAAAGCCAAGAACGCTGGGGACGGTCTGTGTTTCTCTCCACATTCCTACCTAAGTTACCTCGCATTTCTCTGTCAACCCAGGCCACACATGTCCTCCTTCCCATCGTCCTTCTGCGGAAAGGTGACTATCAGTCATTTGCTCTGTTTCTGTAGGTTTTCTTCACTGTGGTCCATAGTAGTTATTGCATTGGATCTGCAGCCCCTCACTTGGAAACCTTCACCATAGTCCGTGGAGCTGTCTTAAATATTTTTCAGGTTATCGATAAAGCTTTTAAATATAGCAGTCCTTACTGCAAGAAGGAGCCCAAAAGACAGACACACTCATTTCATTCAAACCTTAGTGGTCGTTTGGTTATGGGATGAAAGACTGCTTTTAACTCTTTTGTGGGGAATATGGGTCTTATTGAAAACTTCATGGCTAACTTCATGCACTTCTAAAACAGAAGGAAATTTGAAAAGAAACTTAAAACTCGTGTCTGAAGTTTTGGGGAGAGAGGCATTATCAGCTCGGCCCTTTAAAGATGTGTAACATTCTCTTTGTTTTTCCAAGAAACCCAATATAGATAACTTCTCAACAACTGGATATAAGCCTGAATATGTAGAAGGAAGCAAAAAATTTAAAAATGTTTCTTTCAGCTATCCATCAAGACCGTCTGTCCAGGTAACTTAAATTCACTTGCACTGTAATATTTTCTGACATTATCTCCTGACGAGAATATTTCTTTCTTTCCCCTTATCCCCTCCCCAAAGGTGGACTGCGTCCAAATAAATGTCATCACTCTAGAGGCAGTGGGACCAGGGCTGGGATTTTTTTTTAAAAAAGATTTGTTTGTGTATGTGTGATATGTGTGTATGCATGTTCACTGATTGTACATGTGTGCATATGTCTGTGGAGGCCATGGATCAGCATTTAGTGTCCTCCTTGGTCATTCTCCACCTTACATATCGAGGAAGGATCTTGAACCCAAAGCTCACCAGTTCATCCAGTCTAGCTAGCCAGTTTGTTCAGAGATCCCAAACCCCACGATTAAGGTGGGCTGCCCACACACCTCCCAGCATTCGTGTGAGTGCTGGGAAGAGAACTACCAGCCTCACATTTGCATGCCAAGTGCTTGCCCAGCAAGCCCCAGTCCCTCTCTGCGATAACTTTGATCCACATTTTGGCTAATTGCTTAGAGAGTCAATTAGACTAAAAGGGAGGCTGACTGATAAGAAATGGGCAAATATCTCTTAGGACAGTGGTTTATCTTTTCCAGCCTCTCTCCTATGGTTAACTATTAGGCATTTTTTTTATTTTTAATTTATTTATTTATTAAAGATTTCTGTCTCTTCCCTGCCACCACTTCCCATTTCCCTCCCCCTCCACCAATCAAGTACCCTCCCTAGCCGGCTCAAAAATCAATCCAGGTTCCCTCCCCTTTTGGTATTCCAAGGACCACCCATCTCCATCCAGATCTAGTAAGGTGAGCATCCAAACTGCCTAGGCTCCCACAAAACCATTTCGTGCAGTAGGATCAAAAACCCATTGCCATTGCTATTAGGCATTTTTTTCTTTTTTTATTATTTATTTATTAAAGATTTCTGCCTCCTCCCCGCCACCACCTCCCATTTTTAACTCTGTGTTTCCTTGCTCTGTATTTCTGAGCACACCAAAATGTCTTGGGTTAATGAATGCTGCCACCTCCTGGTAGCACCTGGGTATTATCCAGTTTCACTTGGACCTGGGAGTTCCAAACACCAGTTATTATGGACTTGTTAGGCCTTCCCCTCTTTCAGCTCTGAGGCTTCTACTGCATCAGCAACTGTGTCTTTGATACACTTCCTCTCACTTTACAGGCGTGTGCACGTGCACACGCTAGCATACGAACACACAGAGTCTGTCCCACTCATAGAAGGGGACTACAGTCTAGCCTACTGCGGAGTGCACTCCGTAAACTAATCTTTAACACCCAAATAGCTCTTGGAAAAACATATCTGTCCTTTTTGTTAACTTTGTCCTTACATTTAATTAATATGTTTAGTCCCTTTGCTACCCACCCACAAAATAGTATTGTCAAAGATTGCAAAAGGCAGCTACTAACAAAATCCATAATTAGGAGAAAAGAGGGGGCACAATTTTAAGTGAGCCAGATGAGATTCCTATTGCATCAGTGTTCCTTAATCATACCAAATCACCTCACAGAATTCAGGTTAAAATTGTGTGTCCACTCCCACTACCTTGTTTTTTTCTCTATCTCTTTTACTGGGATTCTCTCATCAAAGTCTTTTGTTTTATGATTTGTTTGTCACTGATTATTGTTGCCCCAGGTTTTGCCTTTTCACCTCACAAGACTGAAATTAAAGTAGTATTTTAGACTATATTTTGAATATACATTTAGGTTGGCTTCTGGGCCCAGAGCATCAATTGTGCCATTATAGTGCTCTGAGCCATGTTGTTCTAAACAATTCCTTTATTTGTTTCTTTGATTTGAAACTGGGTTTTCACTATGTAGCCCAGGTCAGCTTCAAACTTGGACAGGTGTGTGCCACCATATTTGGGTAAGCAGTTGTTTTAAACTCACTGTGGGGGAGGGAGGAACCCGCCACTTTGCACACATGGACATCAGAGGACAGCTCAGCTTTCAGGACGTGGTTCTCCTTCCCACTTACTGAGACAGGTCCCTCTCTCGTTTCTGCTGATTTGATGAATACCCAATGTTAGCTGGCCTGTGATCTTCCTAGGTAAAATCTACAAATCTACTGCATTGAATTTTTTTTTAAAATGGGTTTCAGGAATTGAACCCAAATCATCTGGCTTGTGTGGTTAACATTTTTATATGCTGATGATGGGGGAAGGTCATTGGCTAATAAAGAAACCGGCTTGGCCCATTTTATTGGTTAGAACATAGTTGGGTGGAGTAAACAGAATAGAATTCTGGGAGGAAGAGGAAGTGAGGTCAGACTCTGCTCTGCTCCCGGTCAGACCCGACAGCTCTGCTCTCTGGAGCAGAGACACCATGCTCAGCTCTCCCGGGTAGACCCGACAGCTCTGCTCTCTGGAGCAGAGACACCAGGCTCTGCTCTCCCAGGCAGCTCCGACCCAGGATGGACGGAGGCTAGAATCTTCCCGGTAAGCGCACCTTGGGGTGCTTACACACATTACTAGAAATGGGCTAGTCCAGGTGCGAGAGTTAGCCGAGAAGAGGATAAATAGGAATGGGCCAAGTGGTGTTTAAATGAATACAGTTTGTGTGTTGTTATTTCGGGCATGAGCTAGCAGGCAGCTGGGGTGCTGGGGACGCAGCCCCACCACTCTTATTTCAACATGCTGAGCCATCTCCCCACACTTAAATTAACTTTTGAACATAAAGGCCTACTGGCTTTAAGTGAGGACACATTCTTCCATGGAATGAAGGGAAACCAGGCCGAGGTGAAAGTGTATATGTAGTACACCCTCTCATTAGTCCACGGTGCTCATCGCCTTTCCAAAACTGCCTTGCTGGTTGGCACACTGGAGGGTTCACACTGTGCTTATTTAAATATTTGTTTCTTTACAAATGGTGAGGTCAAAAGAAAAGGCTCATTTGGAGCTGAAAACACACAGTTGGAGCAAAACTCTGTGAGGGAGGCTATCAGTAGGCAGCTTTTATCATTGGTGAGACTGTTCTCATAAGGCAAGTCCTGGGATACTAAAGCCTGGTAGTGACTCTCAGACATAGAGAAAATTTTGGAAATATCTCCACTTTGCTAAAATGTGTGCTTAGATCCAAGCGAGTGACCAGAACTGGTAAGACCTCATTTGTGCCCCTGTGGGCTTGCCAACTGCTTTCTAAGGGAGATCTTTGTTGAATAACTCAAAGTTACCTGTCAAGATTTAATCTGTGCAAATTAAAAGATAAAAATTTAATTTAGTTGTCATGTGATTCATGTAAGAGGGAGCTGGAGAGATGTCTCAGCAGTTAAGAACACTGGCTGCTCTTCCAGAGGACCAGGATTCAATCCCCACCACCAACATGGCAGCTTACAACTGTCCATAACACAAGTTCCAGGAGATCTGGCATCCTCACACAGATGTACATGCAGGCAAACATCCATGCATATAAAATAAAAATAAATAATTTTCTAAAAAAAATATGTGAAATATTTCAGTTAAAATGTGAAGTTTGCATGCTTGACAGAGGCTGAGTAGGTAAAGTGCTCACGATTCAAACATGAGGATCAGGGTCCAGACCCCCCACCCTCACTTAAAGCCTCCCCCTAATCCCAGCATGCGGGAGGCAGAGATGGAAGCCCCAGTGAAAGCTAGTCACCCCAGGCTCCCTAAAATACTGAGCTCCATGCTCAGAGAGACCCTGCCTCAATATTGAAGGCAGAGAACTGGGGGATATTCCTGATGCTAACCTCGGGCCTCCATGTGTATGCATACACATGCATGTAATATACACATGGAACACATACCAGGCATACGTGTTTAGGAAAAATTGTAATGTTTATTTGGAAAGAGGAAGGAATTCAAGGAGAGGGAGGGAAGAGGAAAGGTAAAGAAATGAAGGGATGAATTGATCAATATATATTATATATATGTAAGAAAATGCCACAATGAAACCCTTTAAATATGCTAATAAAAAAGCAAAAAAAGTGAATGGTTTAGCTAGTTGTAGCTAGATAACTCTTAAATTATATCTCCTCTTCGTATAGAGAAAATTTTAAACATTATACTCCCAAACTATATATTATTGGAGATATAAATGAAATATTATACAAATAAATATAATATCTGAATTGTTTATTGCTACATAAGAATTTTTCTGTTTATGTTACAAATGAACTATCTAGCTGATATACATGTTGTCTAGAATACCTAATGGTATAATTTCCTGTGTACAAAACAGATTCTCAAAGGTCTCAATCTCAAGATTATTCTGGAGAGACAGTAGCTTTGGTTGGTCCCAGAGACAGTGGCAAGAGCACAACAGTCCAGCTTCTGCAGAGGCTATATGAACCCGAAGAAGGCTGTGTAAGTACAAATGCTAGGAAAACCAGGGGAGAGAGACTGGGAGATGGCTCAGTGTTTCAGGGCTTGCTATGTGGTCATAGGTGCTGTATTCCCAGCACTCACTTAAAACCAGGCCAGTCTCAGTGCCAGCAAAGTAAGGACAGGGGGATCTGGGAGTCTTGCTGGCCAGATGTGTGTTGTAGGAGGGCGCTTGTTTGTTCCCGGTGCTCAGCCCTGAAAAGAATCTATATTAATTAAATCACTGTTTGGCCCATTAGCTCTAGCTTCTTATTGATAACTCTTACATTTAACTTAGCCCATTTCTATTCATCTGTGTATTGCCACGTGGCTGTGGCTTACCAGCAAAGTTTTGGCACATCTGTCTCTGTCTCCATGGCTTCTCTAAATTCCACTTTTCTTTTCCCAGCATTCAGTTTAGTTTTCCTTGCCTCGCTCTACTCTTTTTCCCTACAACAGGCCAAGGCAGTTTCTTGTTCAACCAGTGGTATTCACAGCATACAGCGGGGAATCCCACATCAGATGCACATCTCAACTCCAGTTCTGGGGAGCTGGAGACAGGAGAATCTGTGAGGCTTGCTGGCCGAATGTATATCTGCAACCCTGGTGCTGGGGAAGTGCAGATGGGAGAATCTCTGAGGCTTGCTGGCCAGCCAGTGTGGATACATTGGTTAGCTCCGGGTTCCCTAAGAGGCCCTATCTCAAAAACTAAGGAGGAAAGTGATCCAGGAAGATATCCAAACATTGGTCTCTATGCATACACAAACATTGGTTTCTACACACATACATGAGCATGTACACACATACACACACACAAAAAAAAAGAAAAGGCATGTACACAGAATGGAATTTGGAAATACTACCAGTTGTGCCAACTCCCAGTATTTACAGTTACACTGAGACAAGCTGGGCTGGTCTGGGCTCTGGGAAGCCTGCAGTGAGCAAGCAGACAAACGCCTCTGCCTCTTGGAGTCCGCATTCTTACATGTAGATTGACAACAAAGAGAGTAAATAGACAGTGTAGGGAAAATAGCGGGTTTGTGGCGCCAGTTGTCCTAGTGAGGGCTTCCATTGCTGTGAAGACACCATGACCATGGCATCTCTTAGAAAGGAAAACATCTAATTGTGTCTGACTTACAGTTCAGTGGCTTAGTCCATTGTTATCATAGTTGGAAGGTTTGTGGCGCCAGTTGTCCTAGTGAGGGCTTCCATTGCTGTGAAGACACCATGACCATGGCATCTCTTAGAAAGGAAAACATCTAATTGTGTCTGACTTACAGTTCAGTGGCTTAGTCCATTGTTATCATAGTTGGAAGGTTTGTGGCGCCAGTTGTCCTAGTGAGGGCTTCCATTGCTGTGAAGACACCATGACCATGGCATCTCTTAGAAAGGAAAACATCTAATTGTGTCTGACTTACAGTTCAGTGGCTTAGTCCATTGTTATCATAGTTGGAAGCCTGGCAACAGGCAGGGAGGCAGACATAGTGCAGGATGAATAGCTAAGAGTCCTACATCTGGTTCTGCAGGCAGCAGAAGGACAATGAGCCACACTAGGCCTGGCTTGAGCCTCTGAGACCTCGAAGCCTGCCCCCAGCGACATAATTCCTCCAACAATGCCACACTTCCCAATAACACCAGTCCCCATGAGCCCATGGGGCCAATTTCACTCAAACTACCATACTAGTTCTTCTAAATAATTTCAAAATTTAGCTGGGCATGGTGATACATACCTACATACCTAAAATGTTAGCACTCAGGAGGTTGAGGAAGAGATCTCATGAGTTTAGACCCAGCCTGGGCTACATAGTGAAACTATGTTTTCAAAAAAAAAAAAAAAAAAAAAAGAGCAAAAGCTGAAGTTGTACTTGAGTGTGTGCCTGGAATGCTAAGGCCTTGGGTTTGACCACGGCACAGCAAACAACAGAAAAATAGAATTTCAAAATGTGTTAGAAGAGTAATATCTATAGAATGCATGCTTATTCTTTTAAAATTGTATTTATTCCTATTTCAAGAGAGTGCCTGGGAGGGGTGACAGAAGCTACAGATCACGTGTGCAGTTCAGAAAACACTTCTCTCCATCCACCATCATATGGGTCCCAAGGATCGAATTCAAGTGGACAGGCTCGTACAGCAGATGTCCTTACATGCAGAGCCACCCCTCTGGCCCACTCTTTGTCATTGTCCATAATCTATAATGTTGGCATTAACTCTGCCTGAAGCTGGTATTCCCAGGAACGTGATTCTTGATGCTTTTCCTTAACATCAATTGATGTCTTTAAAAAAAATCTTGTAGAAGCTAGTCTCTTTTAAATTGCACGTCTCAGTTCAAGTTTAAAATATTATAGACATCAAGTCCATGATAATATCGACTAAAGAAATCACTGGATGAGGGTAAAGCAGTGTCCAGTCTCACATAAATGCCAGGCTGTGAGGAGTGGAGTTTGATGGCCACATCTAGCCCTGTCCCTAGAATATGCTGCGGTAACAGCGCCACCTAGGAAGACAGCTTATTTACTATGAGTTAAAACGAAGAGTAGAAGGAACTTTGGTCTTTTGTGATTGAACAAGGATTGAGAAATTAGGAAAGCTAGATAGAACATTGCACTGAGAAATTAGAAGGCTAGATCATTAGCGGTGCCATCAGTCTGAAAATGGCAAAGTTGATGGCTTCTGTCTCCATAATAACATTTGTAGCACTGTATCTTATTGACAACATGTGGCTTCATGGGATTTTAAGTTGGTTGTTTCTTGAAGATTTATTGATTCCAATCTACCAGGAAAAAAAACTCAGTGTTATTCAAACAATAAATATTTTACCAAAATATAGCTAATACTTGCCAAAATTACTACTTTTCGGTTTATTCTTCGGTTTAAGAAGATAGTCGAAAGCCAAGACCTCAGATGGCATCATAGCCTGCTTGGTTCTTTGGTTTGGCACATCACAGTGAATGAGAACGACATCCAAGATCAAAACGTGAGGCATTACTGAGAGCACATTGGAGTGGTCAGCCAAGAGCCTGTTTTGTTTGGGACCACCATTGGTAACAATATTAAGTTTGGGCGTAAAAGCGCTAGTGAAGAGATGGAGCAGGCAGCGAAGGAGGCGAATGCCTACGACTTCATAATGGCCTTCCCTAAGGTGAGGATGGTGCTGCCTGGATTCTGAGCACCTCCGGGTTCCGCACAGCCCAGGGCGGGCTAACTCACATTGTACAGTGCCAGGGATGATGTGTGGAGTATTTCAGATGCAACACCTGCAGAGTAGGGAAAGATCTAAAGTCCAAAAGAGAAAGACCAGGTGAAAAAGTTATTTATTATATTTAATTTTTATTGTGTTTCACTGTACCTTAAAGAGAGAGAATGATACCTATGTTAAAGCAGGACAAAGAAATTTGAGAAAATCCTGAATGCAAGCTGAGAAATGGTTTCTGCAAAAATGTTGGTTTGTACCGCCACCTAGTGGTCAATAATGAGAAAGGCGCGCTCAAACACAGGATTGTTGAGCTAGGTTGAGGGGACGGAGCAGAAGAAATAAACAATGCATAAGAAATGGGGAACTGTAAAAAAGACATAATAAATTTGAAATTCTTGACAACAATACATGTATCAGTGAGCACTGTGTGATAATTATTAAATCATTTATCTACTTATCCTGTTTTTAAATTCATCAGAACCACTTAAAAATTGTGGGATGCACCCACTAAGATATATTACAAAAAAAAAAAAAATCTGACACTTGAAAGTTGAAATTAAAGTACATCTAAAATTCATCATTCCAGAAAGTTACAATAGCAAAAAACATTCATTTTGAAGGACATACTTACAAACCACACCATGTGCATTAATTATAACAAAATAACTTTTTAAAATAATGTATATTATGCCATGATTTATCATAGTAATTAGCATGGAATGTAAGTCAGAAATATAACTAGTGGCTTAAAGGCTTTTCCCCTTTTGTTGACCTCACTCTTGTCAGCGAATTTCCTTATAACACACGGTGCTCTCTTGCCTCTCACTTAGGTTGGGGACAGATTCTGTGAGCTCTTCAGCCCAACTCTACAAGTTAGGGCTTACTTTACTAAAAGAGCATTTATAGACAAGATGCTCCTCACAGCAAACCTAATAGTAACTCACAATGCTGTAATCCAAAGGAGAAACTACATAGTAGTATGATGAGTACTGAAGTTCACAGGCGTGTTTTAACTAGAAAAGAGAGGGGGTTAGGGGAAGAGGAAGCTGAAGAATGAAAAAGAGGGGGTAGAGAATGGGAGCAGGAGGAATAAAGGAAGAAAAGGAGAATCAATAATGGAAGGTCATTCTTGACCACAGATCCTCATCACTGACCACACGGGGATGCTCTGAACTCCATGGCCTGTGGACTAAACAACCTGGAAAGGGTCACCCCTTTGAAGACACAAACTGCAAAACAAATTTAAAAAAGAAAAAACAACCAACTAATGATTTCAAACTCCCTTTAAAAATCAACTGAATCTTTAAAAGGTAGCAAACATAATTTAAAAATTAAAACATACACAATATCATCAAAATTAAGATTTCTTAAAAGTACATTTAATAAAAGATTGACCAAAATAATGAAAGAAGTCCTAATTAAGTTGTACCTTATTTACTAAAGATTCAATGTTTTTAAGGTGATATATTCTTCCCAAGTTGACCTGAAATCTGATTCTTCTCCAGTCAGAGAATTCTGTGAATCTTTTGTATATGTGTAGAAATTGTGTATGAACACCAAAATCATTTTGTATTTATAAAATCAAAACGTGAGTAGACAAAGCAGCTTTAAAAACAGAACGACAAAACTAGCAGACACTCACAGCATCTAGTCCAAGAGAACAACCACTGCAGAAGTGGAGGGGCAAGACAATGTGCAGAGCAGCAGGGTGCAGGCTCCAGAAATGGCCCGCGTGTCCATTTTTAACAAGTGGAATAGAATCAAGCAGGTGAAAAAAAATGTAAATGAATGGTCCTGGAATAAGACAACCAAAGAACTGTGTGGGTTTTGCTCACACCACACACAAAAAATTAATTTGTCATAGAGCAAAATATTAGCTTTGATTTCAAAAATGAAAATCTAGAAAAGCACTTGTAGGCTGATGCAGGAGGATCACCATTTAGAGGCCAGCCCACATTACTTAGCAAGCACAAGACAATCTGAGCTATACAGTAAAGCAGTCTCAAAAGAATAATTAATTAATACTGTAGGTGAAAGGGGAAAATCACAATGTTGCAATAAGCAAAGAATTTGGAAGCTGTGTACTGTTGTTTAAAGGAGTAAACTGAGAAGTAGACAGTTCAGCGGTTAATAGCACTTGCTGCTCTTAGAGAACACCCAAGTTTGGCTCCCAGCACACATACTGGACAGCTCACAACCACCTGTAATTCTAGTACCAGTGGACCACATACCCTTTTCTGGCCTCCCTAGGCACCTGCGCACGCGCGCACACACACACACACACCACACACACACACGTGCAAACACAAATAAAGATTTAAAAAGTAAATCTTAAAAAAGAAATACTAAACTGGCCAAGCATGTGTGATCCAGGGGCAGTGGCAGGAGAATGTCATGTCTGAGAAGTCTGAGCTGGATAAATAAGACAATGTCCAAAAAAAAGAGTGAGGATATGATCAAGATACATTGTACACATGTAGGAAATTTCTCTGAAAAATATTACAAAAGAACTGAAACTAAAGGCTAGGGATGTAACTTAGTGTGGACTGTTTGCCTGGAGTGCACAAGACCCTGGGCTCACCCACCTCCCCCAACACTCAAGAGAAGAGGAAAGAAACACAAGAAAGATGAAATTAAATTAAGACCTTCTTTCAAAAACCACCATTTAGAAACTGAAACGGCTAGACACACGGTACCAGAACATGTTCTGAATGTCTCTGCTTGACCAGCTGCAGGGTGTTTGGAACCCACCCCAGAGAGAGTCCACAAGGAGTTGGGAGTTGGATGGTCTGAGGTCCTAGAAGGTAGACATAATCGAAATACATTGCATATGTGTGAAATCACCAAAGAAAAGAAATGTAAAATACAAAAATCAAAACCCATAACACTACCACAATGGTTTGCCTGGCATGCAAGAAGCACCAGGTTCAATTCTCAACACCACATATATAAGTCCTGACATTATGGCCCATGCTTGTAATCTCAGCACTTGGGAAGTGTAGGCGGGAAAAGAGACGCAAAAACAGTTCAAGGTCATCCTGGGTTGCAGAGCAAGTTTTAGGTCACCCTGGTCTGCACTAAATACTCTCAAAAATAAGTAAAAAAAAAAAAGAGGAGAGAGAGAGATGACAGATAGATACATAAGTTTGCACTATGGAAACCAAATGTAAATATTTTGAAACATTGTCTGCTTTTGACTCAAAAAGATCCTGAGATTTTGTAGCGTTCTGTTCCATAACTGTGTGACAGTGGCATGCTGTAGAAACTTGTTTGCCAAAAACAACGGGGCTGTATCCATAAAATGTGTCCATTTATTGAGTATTTGATTCGTTGTCTGCACTACATGTGTGATCAGATCCTTGAGAACAGGAGTTACAGGTGATTGTTAGCACCATGTGGATGCTGGCAACCAAATGTGTATCCTCTACCAAAGTGGCAAGTACTCTTAACCACTGAGACATCACTTCAGCCCCAAGACTAACATTTTTTTTAGAGAAAAAAGTCTCTAGAAATTAAATGTTTAGAAAGAATATTTAAACTTCTATCCTTGTTGAAATGTGTGCCATAATCCAACAGAATATGACTAATACAGATCACAGATGCTAGAAGCTATCCCACTATAATAAAATAATGCTCAGTTTATTAAAAACACATTTATCAAGAAATAAATAAAGAACAGAGCCTTAAATTTTTCCCAAGACTGAAAAATGCTTTTAGCAAAACATAAGGCTTTTAAAAAAGAAGTTGTGATAAATTTTGGTTCAGCTTGTTTGGGCTTTGTGTGGTGTTTTTGTTTTGGTTGGTTGGTTGATTTTTTTGTTGTTGTTACTTTTGTTTTGTTTGTTTGCTTAAGACAGAGCCCTTCCTGTCCTGAGACTCACTACATAAACAAGACTGGCTTGAACTCACAGAAACCCACCTGCCTCTGCCTCCTCAGTGTTAGAATTAAAACCATACACCACCATACCATACATGGTCTTTTGGGCTTGTTTCTAAGGCGAGTTCTCCCATACCCAACATTGACTTGAGAATGGCCTTGACTCCTGAGCATCCTGCCCAGATTTCTCAGCACTGGGTTTCCGCGTGGGCATCACCACACCCTACTAAATGGCGTTCATTCTGTCATCCTGCCTTTCAGAGTCTCCAAGAGGAAACGTATAGAGAACCTATCAAACTGCAAACAAATACTTATATTACAGTGTATGCTTCATATATTTTTAAAAGATTTTGAGGTCATCTAAAAGACATTTGAAAATTCACTACAATTAAGAATTTTTCTGTTTATCTGGTTTGGTCCGAAGTCACCTTCCCTTACTGTCTTTGCAAGGACCTTTTCTCAGAGATGTTCGTTTTTACAATGATCAGATCAAAGAGTCTGGATGGCCAAGCTAAAGCAGTCATTAAGCTGGTATCAAAACACAAAATGTGCTTGTCATTTCCTCTTCTAATCATTTAATCACCCTTCTATCTTTGTGCCTTTCCCTCTCTGTATCTCATTAGCTCAAATGAGCTCAAATGAGCGGAGGCCAGAAACAGAGAATCATCATTGCTCGAGTGCTAGTTCGAAACCCCAAAATTCTGATCTTAGATGAGGCTACATCTGCCCTTGACACAGAAAGTGCACTGGAGAAGGTAAGTGGACAGAATCTTTTCTGAGTCTCACATTGCTGGTTCACTATTGTTTTTAAGTACAAGAAAATGCAGTTCCCAGAGTTCCTCTGGTATGGGTCCAGGGTGTGACTTGGAGAAATAAATGCTACAGTTGACATTAAGCATACACACACACACACACACACACACACACACACAAGCCATCAATCTGTATAACATTCCATTCCAGCAGGTCTCACCTTCCTGTAGAAACATCCTCATCACAGAAACAGCAGTGGGTGTCTTTTGCTTCTTCTATTCACACTGATGGATTTTTCTCTTCTTTAATAACTTTTCTTCTTTAACGCGTCGTAAGGGTATTCACATTAACACAATTTCACTTAAAGCAGAGTAAAGGAATCTGAGAGACTTTATAATGACTTGGACATCACTCAGTGACCCACCTCATTTCTTAATGACACATTTTTATTCTTCATTACTAACCCATTTATTCCATCACTGCTTTCGTAGCTATATTGGCTGATATAAAATATGCATGTACCTATGCACACATGTATATAGATACAACCTTATATGTATATAGATATAATGTATGCTTGTTTGTGGACTACCTATGTATGTGTATACATTCTTAGCAAATGTGTGGATATCAGGTCAATGAGATGGCTCAGTTAGTAAAGGCTGAGATGACAAACCTGATGATCTGAGTTTGATCTGGGGAAAGTTGTCTGCCGACCCTCATAAGTACAACTTGGTGTGAGCACACACATACACACACACAGATATATGTGTGTGTCTAAATATATGCACATATACGACATTCACAGATACTTTAACATATTTTAGACTTAAAACTATTAAAAAGGTCTGCATAATGCAAACAATGGCTTTGATTACAATTCTCGAGCCCAGATTTATTTTCTATGGATTTTTTTTTTTTTTTTGGTTTTTCGAGACAGGGTTTCTCTGTGGTTTTGGAGCCTGTCCTGGAACTAGCCCTTGTAGACCAGGCTGGTCTCGAACTCACAGAGATCTGCCTGCCTCTGCCTCCCAAGTACTGGGATTAAAGGCGTGTACTACCACCACCTGGCTTCTACGGAATTTTAAAGTCAAATCCCAAGAAGAACACTCTAGTGTCATCTGAACATGGATGGTAACTCACTTATCTTTAATGTTCTAAATCCTAGAGCATAGACTCAAGTGTTCTCAAGGCGTCACTGCATGGCCCCCATCTTCTAGTCTCCCCTTTTTTCTCACTAAGAATGTCCTAGTGATGTTAAGAGATACTGGCTTCAGTGGGCAGCCTCTGGAATTTCCAGGTCTCTGCATCCTGGAACAAGAGGTTTGGACAGGAGCAGGAGGATAGTAGCAGAAACAGAGGAAGTTTATCAAGAAAAATACATTTCCCAGAGAGGAACAGGTTAGAGCTGAGAGAAAAGTTAGCACAGTGGCCCCAAGCCAGCTGGGGTTGGCATGGGCTTGCTTTCTTTTGTGCGTATCCAGGTTTCTTCACAGGGTCTGTTTTTTAATTTTAGCCCTGGTGATGGTGGAGGCTTCCAGTCTTTGTCTCTCCCTCCTGGTTTCTTTCACATAATAATCCACAGTCAATTTGATAGCTTTCAGTCTTGTGCTCTGCCTTACTGTCCTGAATAGTAATAAATTAAATGTATCCCAATAGTTATTTCTCCAAGACATCATGAGATGCTTTAGAAAAACTAGCAAAAGACCTTACTCACAGAAAAGTAACTATTTCCCGTTCTTCATGATGGCATGGGCTCGTTTGTGTGCATGCAGAGGTTACAGTGGGGACACAACCTTTCAGACAGGGAACATTTTCCCTAATTATCTTATCACTTTAAGTAAAAGTACAATACATTTATGATGGAGGAGAGTCATCTGGCTATCTGTTGCTTTCATTGGTTAATTAATAAAGAAACTGCTTGGCCTGATAGGTCAGAAAATAGGAGGGTGGAGTAGACAGAACAGAATTCTGGGAAGAAGGGAAGTGAGGGCAGATGCCATGGGGCCAGCCGCCAGGTCAGACATACTGAATCTTTCCTTTTAAGCCACCACCTCATGGTGCTACACAGATTATTAGAAATGGGTTAATCAAGATGTGAGAATTAGCCAATAAGAGGCTGAAACTAATGGGCCAGGCAGTGTTTAAATGAATACAGTTTGTATGTTGTTATTTCCGGGGCTAAGCTAGCCATGCGGGAGCCGGGTGGGATGAAAAGGAGGCCTGCTCGCCTCATCACTACACATTTATATTAAATAAAAATCTGAAAATTCAAAAAATTACAATTCATAGGTCCAATAATTAAATACATGCACTATCAATATTTTGGTATATCTTATTTAGTCTTTTTTCCTACAGATATTTTAAACATTGTCATAACAAAAGACATTAACTTTCTTCCACAGTTCCCATGTAGAATTCTAACATGATTTCATTGATTTTGATTCTGAATCACCAATGCTTTGAATAGTTTCCTGATTTTATAGATTGGAACTGTGAGACTTTGAAACAAGCCTCCTTCACCTCAGGAATCATATCCATTGCTACAGAGACCTTTCAGAGGGAGGAGGAAGCAATTGCATCTGAGCTTAAGACCACCCTTCCAGGGCTGACAGGGGATCAAAACAAGCTTCTTGGTGTTGAGAGTTCCACTTTCCTTCTCTGAAATGGAGGATAATAGAATTAGAAATAAGAAAATTAGATGTCTGTGATAGATGAGCAGTGATGCGGACAATCACTTGCAGTGTGCCTGCCGAGCACTTGCTCCTGGGCCGGGCTTGGATGAAAAGCACTGAGCTCAAGGTTAGCAAGTGCAGCCACGTGGAGGAAAACAAAACTCGGAGGCTCAAACGGGTTCACAGAACTGTTTCAGCTCTGGTGTATGCCAGTTAGCACAGAGTATCATAGTGTAGTGACAGGTGCCCTGGATGGCAGAAACAGACCTTACCTATGATGAGGTCACTAGAACACTCATTTAATTAAAGCCTAACAATGACATCATGCACAAAAATCAACTCCAGGTAAATTAAAGGTTTAAACATGAGAGGCACAATAATAAAAAATAGACAGAAAAATATCTGTGTGTGACAGAGGGTAATATTTTGAAATAGGACTCAAAAGACACAATTGGAAAAGAGATGAGTCACTAAAGTGGACATCTCTAAAATCAGACGTTTCTATCCATCGGAAGACAGCTAGCATGAGAAGAAAACCTCATATGTGGGAGAAACAGGGAAGAAAAAGATGGCTCCCAAAGGAAAAAGGGCAAAAGATTTGGGCTAATCACAAAACACAGTGTTTTCAATAAATAAAGATTTCAATGTAATAGCACTCATTTATCTGACAAAAAGAGATCAACTCATTGATGCAGATAGAATGCTGCCTGCTCTCTCCTGCCTCGTGGGGCTCTATAGATTGGACACCCTATGCCTCAGCAGTTCCTTTTGAGATGTACAATGACAGATCTTTATGAATTTGTTCACTAAATAAATACATGCAAAAATCTATATTGTAGAAAAAAGTAAAGACAGCTCAAACCCAGTTAGCAATAGAATGGATAAATTATATCCATATGTAGGAGGAAGGACCGCTTGTTCATCCCACTCTCCCACCTAGCTCACACCCGAAATAACCACACAGAAACTATATTAATTAAAACACTGCTTGGCCATTAGCTCTAACTTCCCATTGGCTAGCTCTTACATATTAGTTTAACCCATCTCCATTAATCCATGTATCGCCACGTGGCTGTGACTTACTGGCAAGATTCTAACCGGCATCTGTCTGAGGCAGAGGATCCATGGCTTCTCTGACTCTGCCCTTCTCCCTCCCAGCATTCAGTTTTTTTTCCGCCTACCTAAGTTCCACCCTATCAACTAGGCCAAGGCCATTTCTTTATTCATTAACCAATGAAAGCAACACACAAAGAGAAGGAACTAGGTATGAGAAGCAAAATGGTTAGTCTCAAAAACATAATATTGAACCCAAAGACTCAGACATTTAAGACTGCAGATTCCATTACATAAATGCACACAAATGTGGAGAGAGAGAAAGAGAGAGAGAGAGAGAGAGAGAGAGAGAGAGAGAGAGAGAGAGAGAGAGAGAGAGAATGGGAATAAGCTAGAGGTCTCCTTTGGTTTGTAAGTGGTGGCAGTGACAGGATGCTGGTAATGGCCTACCCATGTGATCTGATGGATTGGTTTTGAAATGTATCTATCAATGTCCTTGTGTGTATCTTTCTATGTACTTGAAATTGTTTTAAAACATATTTTACCTTGAGTCTGCACATAACTTGTAAAGAACATGTTCATTTGGAAGATGACTTTGAGTTTAAATCTTAGATCTTTTTTAATGTTATGGTTAGACTGCTAAAAATTTCTTGTTAGGTTTCTTTCCAGTGCTAAGATACTATGGTCTCTCTCTCTCTCTCTCTCTCTCTCTCTCTCTCTCTCTCTCTCTCCCTCTCTCCAAGGAAGAGAGAGAGAGAAATACCATTTAGACTAAATTACTTTTTATATTCTATTTTCTACTGGCCTTTCTAATCTGCTAAATATTCTGACTTTCTATATCCCAGGATAAGATTCCTTGTAAACTAATACTGTGAAAATAAGTTGTCCTGACTTTTGCAGAGATCATTTCTAACTCTTGTCTGCTTATTTCCACACCTTCTCTTCAGTAGGCAAGCAAAGGTCAGACTACAATTTTGGTAGCATGCCCGCTTTCCAGTACTCGTGGGGCAGACCTGATTGTTACTATGAGGAACGGTGTGGTAGCAGAGAAAGGGACCCGTGCTGGACTAATTGCAAAGCAGAGGCTGTATTACCCTCTCGCCATGACCCAGGTAGTTTTTACAGGATGTTATATCTGCATGTATCTCTGTAACATAGGCAGCAGGACCAATGGGGACAGGGTTACAAACCTTAAGGAAGTGATTAGAAGGCTGCAAAGTTGGGGATAAAACCAAGAAGAAAGCCAGAGGGGTGGGACAGCAGTGCAGAAATAAATAGACAAAAGCAAACACTTCCTTGTGCAGCTGAAAAGGAAAGATCAGCCTTCCATGCAGACAGAGGAGTGCTGGGAAAATAACTAGAGACAGTGAGAGAACGATATTTGAAGTCCCTTTAAGCTGGGCAGAAGGGCTAGAGCATAAAAGTCATGAAAACAAAACAGAAGGTAGAAATATAATCTTAAACAGAGCATGGTGGCTCAGACCTGTAATCCCAGCTTTCAGGAGGCTGAATCACGAGAATCTTTGTGAGTTCAAGGTCAACCTGGGACGCATAGTGAGACTGTTGCAATAGGGGAGTGGGCCTGCTTTTCGCTACAGTGAGACCCTGGTTGTTTTTGTTGTTTTGCTTTTAAAGTGGGGAGGGTGCTGAAAAGACACAGTGGCTCCACTTGAGACTCCAGCTCTGAGATGGGCAGAGAAAGGAGAATCTCTGTAGCTCATTGGTCAGACTGTCTAGCTAAACTCAGGAACCCAGGTTCAATGAAAGACTCTACCTCAAAAAGTAAGATGGAGGACAATGGAGTTTTAGCCTCTGGCCTATACACATGTACATGCACAAACATGTGCACACCTACATGTGCATATATGCACATACACTTGTACTTACATATAACACATCTATACACACTAAAAGAGAATCAAAACAAAGAAAGTACAATCTACTTGCTTAACTACTTGATTTTTATTTTATTTCATATTTGTCCATATTCTGTATTTCCTTTAAAAAGAAAAGTAAGGACAGGTAGTGGTGGCACGAACCTTTAATCTCAGCACTCAGGAAGCAGAAGCAAGCAGATCTTTATGAGTTCAATGCCAGCCTGATCTACAGAGTGAGTTCCAGGACAGTCAGAGCTATGTATAGAAACCCTGTCTCAAAAAACAGATAGATAGATAGATAGATAGATAGATAGATAGATAGATAGATAGATAGATAGATAGATAGATGATAGATAATAGATAGATAGATGATTGATAGATAGATAATAGATTAGATAGATAGATGATAGATAGATAGATAGATAGATAGATAGATAGATGATAGATAATAGATAGATAGATGATTGATAGATAGATAATAGATTAGATAGATAGATGATAGATAGATAGATAGATAGATAGATAGATAGATGATAGATAATAGATAGATAGATGATTGATAGATAGATAATAGATTAGATAGATAGATGATAGATAGATAGATAGATAGATAGATAGATAGATGATAGATAATAGATAGATAGATGATTGATAGATAGATAATAGATTAGATAGATAGATGATAGATAGATAGATAGATAGATAGATAGATAGATGATAGATAATAGATAGATAGATGATTGATAGATAGATAATAGATTAGATAGATAGATAGATAGATAGATAGATAGATAGATAATAGATTAGATAGATAGATAGATAGATAGATAGATAGATAGATAGATGATAGATAATAGATTAGATAGATAGATAGATAGATAGATAGATAGATAAATCTGAGATGTTGCTTGACACTGAATTCACATCATTTTCATTCCTTAGAGCAGGGATTCTCAGCCTTCCTAATGCTGCCACCCTTAACACAGTTCCTCATGCTGTGGTGACTCCCAACCACAAAGTTGTTTTACTGGTACTTCATAACTGTAATTTTACTACTGTTATGAATCATAATATAAATATCTGATGTTCAGGATATCGAATATGTGACCCCCAAGAGGATCACAACCCTCAGGTTGAGAATTGCTGTCTTAGAGGCATTAACTTATAAAGTTACTAAGTTTAATATTTCCAAACCAATATAACTAGGTAAGAAAAGAACATAATTGAGGGTCAAATTCATCATTTTTTTTGAAAATATTTATTTATTTATTATGTATACAATATTCTGTCTGTGTGTGTGCCTGAAGGCCAGATGAGGGCGCCAGACCTCTTTACAGATCGTTGTGAGCCACCATGTGGTTGCTGGGAATTGAACTCAGGACCTTTGAAAGAGCAGGCAATGCTCTTAACCACTGAGCCATCTCTCCAGCCCCCAAATTCATCATTTTTTGAGATCTTTAAGAACCAGGATACTTAGGCTTTCTTTAGAATAACACATCTTTAGTTTTTTATTAATAATTGTAAGTGTGAAAACAAGATAGATTTCAGATTCCCACCATGTGGTACCCCCCAATCCCACAATTCCAGATCCCCTCCAGAGTGGCACACTGCTGTAATTCCAGATTACCACCAATGGGTGGGGCTGTAAGCCCAGATTTTCACCAGTGTGTGAGTGCGGGGTGGGACGCCTATCATTTCAGAAGAAACAGAATGCCCAGTACACAACTGTCCAACTAGTCCGACCATATCAGCAATCTCTGGGTTCAACTGAGAGACCTTGCCTTGAGGATTGGAGAATGACAAGGAAGACTCTCAGGGAAGGCATTCACCCTCCACATTCACAAGCACAGACAAACACACACACACACACACACACACACAAGAGAGAGAGAGAGAGAGAGAGAGAGAGAGAGAGAGAGAGAGAGAGAGAGAGAGAGAGAGCACATACACACAGGAAGAAGAAACTTTGAGAAGCACCACAGTGGCTGAGAAATGAGTTGCCGTCACTGCCAGTTGACTCTGGGAGGCTACACTTTCAGGGCCAAGGATAAATGTCTTAAATTCTTTATGTTTCTATTTTCTAATCCTAACATGAGGGAAATACAGTAATCAATTCATTAATAATGAACTAATTCTTATAAGTGTTTGGAATGATTTGTATATTAGTGGATATGAAATAAAATCAAGTACAGAGGAGCTAGAGAGATGGCCTCACTAAGAGCACTAGCTGCTCCTGCAAAGGACCCAGGTTCTATCCCAAGCATTCAAATTATGGTTCATAACTATCCATAACTCCAGTTCCACAGGATCTGATTCTGTCTTCTGACTTCCATGGCACCAGGCATACATATATATGCATTTGGGCAATTTTTTTCATAAAAAATAATTCTAAAAAAATTAATCCAGTACAGATGCAAATTTTCTGTTTTGTGTTTTTTTTGTTGTTGTTGTTTTCTGTTTTGTTTTTTGAGACAGAGTTTCTCTGTGTGGCCTTAGCTGTCCTGGAACTCACTCTATAGATCACACTGGCCTCGAACTCACAGAGTACTGGGAGTAAAGGCATGCACTACCCACTCGTGGCTAAGACAGACTTTTCAGAATATCTTTTATGTGTACTTTGACAATTTTGTATATGTATACAATGTATACATTCCTCTCTACCCCAACTTCCAAATATACTCCTCAACAACCCCCTCCCACCTTTATGTACAGTTCTTTTTGCTTTTTTTTTTTTGTAAGCCTCTAAGTCCAGTTAGTGCTGCCTGCTGGAATATTGATTGACCTTGTTGGCTTGATTTTGTTCAGGTAATCATGGCTGAAGTGAGTTACTGAATAGAGCGGCTGTGTAGTGTCCAGACAAGGGCATTCACAGCACTCTTCCCAGTCCGCCTTTTCTTCTGCTGTGTGTCCTGAGCCCTGAGGTCTCACTCCGCAGTCACTTATTCTCAGCATCTCAGCCAGCTGACAATGTCTGCATTAACTGCTGTCACTGCAGAAGCTATTGTCTTTAGCCAAGCTTGAGAGCAGCACTAATCTATGAATATAAAAATAATTATTTCTTTTTTCTTTTCTTTTTTTCTTCAGAGCTGAAGACCAAACCTAGGGTTTTGCAAGCACTCTACCACTGAGCTAAATCCCCAACCCCAAGCATAAATATTTAAAAGACAATTTGGTGTGTTCATTTAACAATACTATATATGTTCCCTTCTAAAACTTATGACCATTCCATCCATGGGCTTTTAAGCTTGTTTACGGTATTATACAACAATTCCCTCCTGTTTCCAGGTCTCAGATCCAATAAGAAAGCAGTTGGTTGTTGAAATAGGAGTGGCGGGGCTGTGTCCCCAGCACCCCAGCCGCCTGCTAGCTCATGCCCGAAATAACAACACACAAACTGTATCCATTTAAACACTGCTTGGCCTGGCTAGTTCCAGCTTCTTATTGGCTAGCTCTTACATATTGTTCTAACCCATTTCTAATAATGTGTGTAAGCACCCCAAGGTGCGCTTACCAGGAAGATTCTAGCCTACGTCCATCCTGGGGAGCTTCATGCGTCTGCCTCAGAGCGCAGAGCTATCATGTCTATCCGGCAGAGCTGAGCATGGCGTCTCTGCTCCAGAGAGCAGAACTGTCGAGTCTCTCCGGGAGCAGAGCAGAGTCTGACCTCACTTCCTCTTCCGCCCAGAATTCTATTCTGTTTACTCCTCCCATCTATGTTCTAAGCTATGAGGCCAAGCAGTTGGTTTATTATAATTAACCAATGACCTTCCTCCATCAGTTGGTTACCTCAAAAAGCTTCATGCTGCTATTGTAGCACCTTGACTGGTAGGTACTCAGGTCCAGTGCTGGGCAAGACTATTGCTGCCTTTACTGCTCACTCCTGTCCCCCCACCACCACCCAGCTCCCTATCCAAAGCCTTCCTGCACTAGGAGAGCCAGCCCGCAGGAAGGAAGTTCTTAGGTCAGTCGTAGCATGTTTTCTCTATGTCTTTTAACAAAATATGTTTTATTTTCAACAGCAAGGTCTCACCATCTGGTTCTGCTGAGCAACCAAGAGTAAAGACAACAGCCTGTATTGTTTTGGAGGCCTCTGAGGACTCCTTGAGTTGTAAGGAGGTGTTTGAGCCTGGCACTAAGATTTTTATTTACCCATGCAGGATATCTATGTTCAAATTCCTTTTTTTTTATTTTCAATTGTGTTTTTTAGTTACCTTACAAAGTAGTGTATTTCTGTAAGGACTTTTCATACATCTTTAGTTTTGGTTGGCTCTTAATCTTCCTGTCTCTACCTAGAATCTCTAACATCACATACTCTCATTATTCTTTGTCTAGCAACCTCCTTAGAAAAATGAGTTGTCTTTGACCAATAACAGAATTCCTCCTTAGAAAGCTTTACTATGAAATCAGGTTAAATTCTATTTTAAATTTCCCACTGATTAAATAACTCTGGACAAAAAAAGAATAGTCAAATAAAAGATTTCCTCCACAGTGGAAAAATAACAGAAAAGAAGGTGATAGTGTAAAAGTACCTGTAACTACAGACTTTCAAGTTACTGCGTCTCTGTGTAATTCATTAACTGCTCCCCAGATTGCTGAGGAATCCGACCATCCCTGGAATGTGGTACTGTCGTTGCCTCCCTGATTCTGCCTCTCTGAGCTCAGGCTTCTCTCCTGCCAGCTCACTGAAGAGCTCTGCTTGGGGGTCTCACGAAACTGCCCTCATGTTTCTAAATTACAAAAAAAAGAAAAACTATGTTCAGTGCAATCTATCTTATAATTTAGCCCTAATGTATATTTTAATACTTACTCATAGTTTGATTTCTCTCTCTCTCTCTTTTTTTTTTATTCTCAAGAAGTCCCAATACACACAGACTCATTTTGCTTTGAAGTCTCAGTCTGGATTGGGCTGTGGCTAATGGCCAGGAAAGTACATTGTCTCCTAAGATTGATCTCAGACCACACACACACAAGCTTTATTGTGACACAACAAATACCTTTGTATTTTTTCCTGTGTGTGTGCATGTGTGCATATGTGCTTGTTTGTTTTTAAGAATGAGTCTCTAACTGGCCTAGACCTCACCAAGCAGGCTAGACTAGCAAGTCTGCAAGCCCCAAGGATCAACTTATCTCTATCTATCCCTGCACATCTTCACCTCCCTCAACTCTTAACCCATCCTGAAGCTCCCTTTCCTCCTGTCCCAGCACTAGGGTACTAAGGACATTCCGTCATTCCCATCTTTTTTTAAAATCTTGAATTCTGGAGACCAAAATCGGGTCCTCACTTTACCAGCTGAGCTATCTCCCTATGCTGCCTTTGTATTTTTAAGGCATCGTTATCACAGCCAATACATTCTTTTTTTAAGGATATTAAAAAAGCTGATGAACAAATGGAGGCAAAGACGTGTTCCACTGAGGAAAAAAGCAGCTCTATTTCTCTGTGTGATGTGAGCAGCTCCAAGTCCTTCTGTGTCTGAGGAAGTCATCTACCATCAAAAGGAAGTGCTTGTATACATGTTCCCTTATGAAATTTATAATTGATGTACAATAAAATAGTATTGTGCCATTAAGTTCACATTCGCTCTCACTGCCCACGACACTAAGGAGGTCATCTACTGAACCACATTTTTGTCAAAGGTCTTTGCTGGGAAGGGAAAAAAAAATCTTATAAAGGCATGTTGTTCCTTTTTACACGGCAAACCAGGGGTTAAAACAGCAGCCCGCCAGCCTAGTCTACAAGAGCCAGTTCCAGGACAGGCTCTAAAACTACAGAGAAACCCAGTCTAGAAAAACCCAAAACACACAAACAAAAAACAGCAGCCTGAGGTGTGGGGAACACCACCAGGGCCACCCCAGATTAAATTGGGTCCGGATATTGTGTCTAGAGGGCATCCAATGGGATTTCCCCGGGGCCTTGTGGACCAGGAGCAAGTGAATAGCCATAGAAGGCAAGCCTGCTATCAAGGGAGGAAAAGGCAGCCTACGCTGTCTCTGGACTGCTCATTGACGTATTGCCCACCTTCTCTGCGCAGAGTCCTGGTGGAGAGGGGTTCTAACTAATCTCAACACCTCTTTCACTGGCTACTCCCGCTGCAACAGCCTGGAAACGACCAGCCGCCAGCCGCAGTTTGGGTAGGGGTACCTGATCCCAGGCGTCCTCTTCCCTGCTCCCAGTACAAAGGTCACCCTGCTGTATCCCTCCCTGCCCCCAGCACCACTCAGTACTCTCCTCAGGCACCACCCTACCCGGTGTCATTTCTCTTTCACAATTTATCTCCTTCCACTTAACCCACCATGGCTTCCAGACCTACAATTGAATGTCCTCAATACCTTCCCTGGTTAGATTTCTTTTGCTGCGAAAAGCACCATGCTCAAAGGGAACTTCGGAGAAAGGGGTTTATTTTAGCTGACAGAGTCCTTCATGAAGGGAACTCAGGGCAGGAACTCAAGACAGGAGCCTGGAGGCAGGAACTGAAGCGGAGGCCCATGGAGGCTGCTACTGACTTGCTCCCTGCGGCTTGCTCAGTTTGTTTTCTTATACATTCACCTGCCCAGGGGTGACACTGCCCACACAAAAATCACCCACAGACTTGCCTATAGGCCAGTTGGAGGCAGTTTCTCAATTGAGGTTCCCTCAAATGGTGTTGGATTGAGTCAAATGGAGGGAAACAAAACAAAAAAACCAACCAACCACCCAGCACAACTTTTCATAAGTGTCTTCCCTCCATGGGCTTCCCTGAGCCCTAGGCTCTCCCTCTCCTCAGGCCCCATTACCGGTCCCTGGGTACTGTTATGTGTTTGGTAAGCCAGAGGTCCCTCATCTGGACAGTTCCTCTGTGGGGCTTCAGTGTCTTTGTCTCCAGCTGACAATCACCCAACAGCTCTCTAGGGCCCATTCTTATCTTCTCTCAAGGATTCAGATTAACCTCTTCCTTAGCTCTTCCTGCTGCCTCCCAGCTCACATTCTCCTTCTCAGCCACCAGTTCTCTCTGCCTGAGGTCTGGACTGCGGACCCCAGTCCTTCTGACGTCCTATGAGACGCAGCCATAGTTGTCTCACACTTTAGCTACAACTATGTGATCTTCATGGCGTTCACACTTAGACTTCCCCCTCTTCTCTCTCACTTTGATTTTTGTAAAGGTTCATTTGTATAAACACATAAAAATAATTTTCAGGCTGGCAAGACCTGTAAAAAAAGAGCCTTGTCTTTACCAGACACACAATGACACACATGCACATACATACAAGCGTGTGAGCAAACTAAATTAATAAAATTAATCTTTTAAATATTTAAAAAAATAATTTTCAATTTTGAATCCTATTCTTGGAGATTTTGTTTTGTTTTTTGTTGTTTATTTATGGTCTGTTTAGTTTTCTGTTTGTTTGTTTGGTTTGGTTTGTTTTTAGTATATAGTCCCCAAGCTCAGAGAAGCTCTCTGGATAGAAATCAGAGGTCATTAATCTAAATGAAGAGGAAAAAAAAATAACTTTTCTCACAAGCCCTTGAATATAAGAACTAAACTCTTGTAAGATTGTTCATCGCTGTGGATGTCATCAAAGGTCACCATAGGAATTTTTATTTATTTCAAGTAACCAACAGAGTAAAGTTTACAACATCTAGCATTTGATTAAAAAAAATCAGTAGTGAAATAAAACAAAACAAAAATCAGCTGACAAGATAGCTTGGTGAGTAAAAGTCTTCTGACAGCCGAGTGCAGTCACCAGCTCTCGCAGCAGACTCTGGCACATGGTCCTCTGACCTCCACCTATACCCTGTGGCATGTGCATGCATAGATGTGCGTGTATACACATACACACACACACACAAATTTTACTAACGTAAAAACACTGACTTTATGTGAGAATACCCAGTAGAAAATCTTTATGACTTTAAGATTTCCTAGATAACATTACCAAAAACATACTGATTAGAATAAATCAGACATTATTCATGAAGAACATTTCCTTTTATATAACAGATTTAAGTAACAGGATAAACCATAAACTGAAAGTATTTATAAACCAATTATCTTCTATAGAACTTGAACTCCTGAATTAAAAACTCCCAAAGCATTAAAAAAATAAATAAACAGCACCATCCCCATGACAAAGTGAGGGAAAGAGGAAACAGTGAGGACCAGAGCCAGTGTGAGCTGCAGGATGAGGAGCTGATGGCAACCAGAGGCTGAAGAGACTTGGCTGGCAAAGGCGGGGTCCTTCCATGGAAGTTGTATTAGCTATGTAATTGTGTTAATAGACTCACCAATAACAAGCTACTTCTAAACTCCCAAAACACACACGCATGTGCAATTGGTGATAAGCAAATTACATATGTATGTGTAACTGGCTATTTGCAAATTATAACTCAATAAAATTAAAAAACAGATCAGATGAAATTTTTAACTTTATCAGACTTGTTTGTGTCTCTAAAGAAAATGCCTCCTTCATATTTTTACATCAGATTATCTTAAGACATTCTATAATCCGTAATATATTAGATATGACATTATTTGTGATTTTTCAGGGATTTTTCATTTTGATTTTGTCTTACTTTATTCTTTTCTATCTACTTAACTCTGTTTAAGCAATACTTTTTTAAAAAACCTGCATTTTTTTTTAACTCCTAGAGGAAAAAAATTCCACCTTTTAAAACTGTGCCTCAAAACTGCATACGGGGGCATGGAACTGAACGCTGAGATCACAAAATTGTTTAAAATGACAACAGTAAAACGCTTCTGAATGCCTGACAGCTATGGACTCAGTATCAAACACGCAGTGGGCCTACAGCTTTCCTGGCCATCTCACCTGTACTGCATGGGGCTCCATCACTCCAGCCTTGGCTCTGAGCACACAGCCCAAGCCCCTTGCAGTGCTCATGCCCTCACACCATGCCACACAACCACACTGGAACACTTTCTCTGCAGGCTTCCCGCCTAACCCTTGTCCTCACTTAGAGTATGGTATTGAATTCAGTCTGACAAGATTAAGGAAAATTGATTCTGTTATTTCTTGTGATTCTTAGTTACCTGACATGTGACCTAATATTTGCTTTCTCTTTTTTAAATTGATTTTTGTGTTTTCCTGCATGTATGTTTGTTCACCACATGTGTGTAGTGCCTGAGGAGGTCAGAAGAGGGCACCAGATCCCCTGGGTCTGGAGTTACAGGTGGTTATGTGGGTTTAGGAATCAAACCATGGTCTCCACCATTGAGCCACCTCTCCGGGCCCAGTTTGTACTTTCTTAGTGATAGCAACTGAGTGGAATTCCAAAAGCTGACATTGTATAAATCATCACTTTGATGTAAGATTCCTTTATGTATGCGACTCATCATTGGTAATAAAATTGGTAAATTTTTCTAAGAAAAATAAAACTGTACACTGCCATCTGTTCTATTTGCTAGGTTCCAGTGTGCTTCTCTTTGTCCTGCCTCACTTCTCTGGGTTCCATAATATCCTCAGACTGATATTGTTCTTAATCAACTTCTTTTATTTATAGACAATTCTTCCTGAAGTTTCACTATTAAAAATACCTAAATTAAACAAGTCTGAATGGCCTCTTTGTTCTGGGCACACTGGCTTCTGTCCTAATTGGATCTGTTTACCCAGTGTTTTCTATCATCTTTGCAAAATTAGTCGCTGTAAGTAACACTCACCTGTTTATGCTTTCGCAACTCAAGCATCGTCAGAGAACAGAGCCGAGCACAGTGATCTGCAAGGGGGACACAGAGCTTGCAGTGGTCATCCCTAGGACAGAATCCATGGTAGGAAGGGCCGTGGCTGTGCCTGAGAGATGGGCCATAGCTGGCTCACTCTGTCCAGCTGGGTGCTGCTGGCTGGGTGAGCTGTAAAGAAATTGCTTTGTTTACTAATTCTGACTGCAGTGTTGTATCAGCATTCCTAAACACTGAAGCAAGAAAAGACAGAGACAGCTTTTCTCTTTCCAACCTGTCCAAACAATGACAAATTTTTATTACCAGCCAGCTCAGAAATAGGGAATGTAAGTTTGGGATTGTGCCAAAGTTCCAGAAGAGTGGACTGGTTCAGGAAGTCACTAGACCCTACACTGTTTTAGCAGCCATGTGTGTGTCTAATACCTAACTTTGTGAGCAACTCTTAGGAGCACATACAAAGGTCTCACTTTTGATGAATATTAAGAAATGCGAGTTACTAGATGTTATTAGAAATAATAATTTAAACTGCTGACCTCACTGAAAAATATTATAGGGTGAGAACGCTGTCTGAGCAGGTACAAATCTGACAACCTGAGTCTTATTCCCTCATTAAAAACCAAATGCAGTACACATCTGTAACCCAGCACTCTATGACAAGATCTGAGGCAAAGACAGGAAGCTGGTGGATGGGCGGACTAGAGTGTGTATTACAGAAAAGAGAAGGTGCCCTGCCTCAATAAGGCAGAAGGCAAGAACCCGCTACCACAGTTGTCCTCAGTCCTATCCACAAGTGCTCCAGTTCACACACATATACCCAAAGCAGGGAGGGAGAAAAGGAGGGAGGAAGGGAGGGACGGAAGGAAAATTCAAATAATAATAAAAAGGAAAAATATTATGATAGTAGAAGACTCATTGATTTGATACAATTACAAAGCAAAGGTAGGGAGATTAAAAGTAATTAATTTTATCATGTATATTAAAAGTAAACAGAGTAGTTTTTTTGCCCAGAAATGCGTAGTTTTTTCCATGTGTTGCAATTCCTGTGGGACATGTTATGCTTTCTGCTTGCACTTTCCTCCAAGCTTCTGATGGAAACTCTGCTCCTTCTCTGATGTTTGAAAACTACAACAAAACCACATTAAAACATGATGCGGAACTTACTCCATGCTCCTGATCATCCTGGGCTCTGCTGCTCTTGGTGAACCTGATGCAGGTAAACTTTTAACTGACTCACCAGCCCTGGGCAAGATTCCTTGTTTACATGGTCTTCTCTTCTCAGTTGAAAATAAAACTGAGGGGGCTGGAGAGATGGCTCAGTGGTTAAGAGCACCACCTGCTCTTCCTAAGGTCCTGAGTTCAATTCCCAGCAACCACATGGTGGCTCACAACCATCTGTAATGAGATCTGGTGCCCTCTTCTGGCCTGCAGACAAAGCACTGAGGATACTGTATACATAATAAATAAATAAATCTTTAAAAAAACTGGAGAGATGGCTCAGTGGTTAAGAGCACCACCTACTCTTCCTAAGGTCCTGAGTTCAATAATTCCCAGCAACCACATGGTGGCTCACAACCATCTGTAATGAGATCTGGTGCCCTCTTCTGGCCTGCAGACAAAGCACTGAGGATACTGTATACATAATAAATAAATAAATCTTTAAAAAAAACTGAATGATATAAAGAGAGTTAAGAATAACTGAAGAACTTTATCTTTGTTTCCTAGGGGTTGTTTTATGGCCAAGAAGAGGGAAATTTAGCCGTGAGATTAAGACATTTGGCATTCCAAGCCATGTTGTATCAGGTCTACTGTATGTCTACTGGAATTTTTTTCTTTTAACCGAGATTTGTGGTCAATGCTAACCTTTAGTTCTTTCTCATTTCTTGACATAGTCTCTCTATCAGATCATTGAAGAGCATAAATTTTTGTTGTTATTCTAAGTAGCTAAAATCTGTCATCAGAATTCTTATAAACATATTCTTCTATTAAAAGTATGTTTATCAGCTGTAGGAGTTCTTTGGTAGAGTTTTTGGGGTCGCTTATGTATACTATCATATCATCTGCAAATAACGAAAGCTTAACTTCTTCCTTTCCAATACGAATCCCCTTGATCCCCTTATGTTGTCTTATTGCTATTGCTAGAACTTCAAGCACTATATTGAAGAGGTATGGAGAGAGTGGACATCCTTGTCTTGTTCCTGATTTTAGTGGGATGGCTTTGAGTTTTTCTCC